GGGACCAGCACAGCTCCAACAACACCGCCTCTCACTTAACCACTTCCCCGCCATTGCAGGAAGCTCAGACCTTAATGAGCCTCAGTCCCTCCTATTCTCTGCCTGTGGCACATAATAGCAGAGTCTCCCAGGGGCTGTAAGGCTTGGGGGTCTAATTTCAGTTGCTGGGTTTAGTGTGCAGGTGCTGGGTGGCCTATGACACACCCAGGAGGGCAGGCTAGGTGATTTGGTCACCCCTTTTGGCCTTGAACTCGGAGTCTCTGCACTCCCGGTTTTGCACGAGCAAGGGGATGAATAAAGGCTCCTGTACCTTGCTCTATGAGCTGGGAGCCGCACTTCCCCAGGTGAGAGACAGGAGAGCTCAGAAACTCTTGGAGGTGGAAGTTCCCAGACACTAGTCCTACCTCCTTTGAAGTAGTTCCCATCGATGAACTCCTGCAGGCCTATGCTCTCCGGCCCGACACCGATCAGGCGGACGTTGTGACTGTCCAGCAGGTCTTTCAGTTTGCTGGTCTCCTTGGCAATCCAGCGGCAAACCTGGCAGCCAAACCGCCGCAGGAAGAGCACCACACATGGCTGGTCCCTCCACAGGGCCCGCAGCTCCACCACCTACAGAGAGGCATTACCAGTCGCCACAGAGCCAGCACCAGGAAAGCATCCTAACACTGGCTGCAGAACTTACAGCTTATAGCAACCTCATCAAATTCAAGGGCCATCGTCCATTGGCAAACTCTCCAGGCTGTTTGTTTGAAGAGTTAGAAGGAGTTTCCAGGTACAGTATTAGAGGGATCGTTAGCTCTGTCCCCACTTTGTGGTTTACAGCCACGTTGTCTGGTTTTAGAGAGAAGTGGAGCAGAGAAACATGGTGTGAAAAGCCCTCCCTGAGGAAATTGACAATGCACAAAAAGAAAAGGAGGACGTGTGGCACCTTAGAGGCTAACCAATTTATTTGAGCATGAGCTTTCGTGAGCTACAGCTCACTTCATGAGCGAATGCATCCGATGAAGTGAGCTGTAGCTCACGAAAGCTCATGCTCAAATAAATTGGGTTAGTCTCTAAGGTGCCACAAGTCCTCCTTTTCGTTTTGCGAATACAGACTAACACGGCTGCTACTCTGAAACCTGACTATGCACAGGAAACCTTGACAAGGCCTATATAGGAGAGGCCCGATGGTCAAGCATACACAGCCCCCAGCACTGGGGCCAAATTAACAGGAGTTCTCAGTGGGAGCTGGGCATTGCAGATAACAGGGCCTATATTGTGGGGCTAAATGAGAACTGAGCTCTTTTGAAAATCTGGCCAGTAGCAGATAAACTGATGAGGTTTATCTCTAACAGATTAAAAACAGAGCTTGGGGGATGATCATTACAGGATAAGGCAAGCTTTTTCTTTTTTAGACAGGAAGTGTTATTATTACACTGACTTGTGTCCCTTCCACTTGAGGTAGAAGGAGATTATTATTATATTAATTATTATTAGGAGTCTGAAAAACAGAACAAGAACCACCCACCATCAAAGAGGGCATTTAACAGAACCTGCTGAGGTTTATGAGGGACACATGATCAACATCATGGCCCTGCTAAACTCCCTGCTGCATTTGCGACTCATCAGTCTAGTTTTAAAGTAGGCCAAAGCAAGGTACAGCTGGCTGAGAATTAATTAAGATGGTTGTGGCCTGTGCAGACAGATAAACAAAACACTCCACCAACCACAGCAACATGGTAGCAAAGAGATTTAAGACGTGTCTAGGGTGATCAAGAAACAAGCAGCATTTTCATAACCGATTAGGAAACATTTTCGCGGGGTGTCTGTCTCTCTCGCCCCGCCAGTTCAAAGGGGTTTTAAACACGTTTTAGACGCGGCAGTGAGGACAAGAGACGGCTGGCAGCGGGAAGGAGACCGGCTGGACTGACCCCGACCCGGGGCAAACCCAGCGACCCCCTCGCCCCCCGGCAGTGCTAGCTCAGGGTCCAGCCCCAGGCTCGCTTCCTGGGGACCCCTCTCCCCCCAGCCGGGCTCCCCGGGGCCGGGAGAGGTGCGTACGCCCTCCACCCGTGGGGCGCCCCCACCCACGACAGCCCCAGCCCGCGGGGGGGTGGCCCCGCAGCCCCGCTCACCTGCCCGCTCACTGCGTGCTTCAGCGTGTCGGCTCCCACTTTGGCGAGATCCACCGCGGCCATGGTCAGCTGCGCCCGTGACGCCCCTGCTGCCCGCGGGCCTCCTTATAGCGCCCGCCCGGCAGCGATCAGCTGCTGGGCCGGGCACACGCGTGACCCGGCCGGCAGGGGGCCACGCCCTTCTCCTCGCGAGGCAGGAGCTACCAGCCAATCAGCGCCTCCCGGGGCCGGCCGGGCGGGGCTAGAGCGGGTCTGCCTCAAGGGGCGGGGCGGGGCTGGGGAGAGGAAAGGGGGTGCAGAGATTAGCAGGGCAGGGAGCGTTTGCAGGGAGGGAAAGGCCCAGGGGGGTTGTGCAATGCATGGCTGGGGTGACTGGACTAAGGGGCGAATGGAGAAATAATTGCAGAGGTTGCACAGAGGCTGAGCTGTGCCATGTCCTATGGGGGAAGCGGGATCACAGAACCATAGACCTGGAAGGCACCTGGAGCGGTCATCTAGTCCAGTCCCCTGCACTCAAGGCAGGACTGAGTGTTATCTAGACCATCCCTGACAGGTGTTTGTCCAACCTGCTCTTAAAAATCCCCAGTGATGGAGATTCCACCACCTCCCTGGGCAATTTATTCCAGTGCTTCACCACTCTGACACTTAGCAAGTTTTTCCTAATGTCCAACCGAAACCGCCCTGGCTGCAATTTAAGCCCATTGCTTCTTGACCTGTCCTCAGAAGGATGCAGGAGACTGGCAATGATACAGACTGCACTGGCTACGGGGTTCTGCACAGCACCTCTGGAAAAAGGAAATAAGCCTGTCGTGCCTAATCATGCAGAAGGTAGTTGTAGAAGGATTTGTGCAAAATCTATAGGGGACTGAAATGAGGGTGTGCAAGAGTTAAGAGGTAGAAAGTTTTGCAAAGCATTTACATGGAAGGGTGTGTGTAATGAGAGGGGCCAGAAGTGAACCCGTCCAGAGCAAGGGTGAGATGATGCAAAGGCATCGTAAGGTTGCATGAAGGGGTCTGTGCAATACCTGGGGTACAGAAATAGCAACACACAGAGTGGTTAAATCCTGAGCATGGTTATTAAAAATCAGTGCGCGCTTGCACTTTATCCTGCAGATCATTCAGGGCGTGGTTAGAAGTTTAACCCGTCTGCGCCCGCTGGAAATTTGTATGCGTGCTGGGGGGGGAGGAGGAGTTAGATAAAGCTCAGGAAACTCCTTCCTGGAAACTATGCTTCCTGGCGTTAACCACCAAATAACTTCTGAGTCAAAAGGATATTTCTCCCTCTGTGAAGATCACTAGAGCGACAGTGAGACAAATTGCTGCTCAGAAGGGCAGTGCTGAATAGCAGTACAGTAATTCTTAGCTCCTTTCTCTCATCTGAGGATCTTACACTGTGTCATGGACATTAGCCACACTTCCCCTCTGGTTGTGAGGCAGGGATGGTTAATACTGGTAACATCAGGGGTAGCCAAAGGAATGAGGCGGGACCACATTGTCAAAACATCCAACCAACTTTCAGGCAGTCAGATCCCCAACTATGGTACCCCAAGAACTGGTCAGGCAGCCTCACCCCCCCCTCCACCCCAGTGAGCCCTTGTTTTAACCCCATTCCTCCAGGCTCTCCCTCAAACCAAAGCCAACCACACCCAACTAATGGGGAGGGGGAAAGCCTATTACAATATTGTTACCTCCTCCTACACTGAGAGCAGATCTCTGTGGTTTACCCAGGTCACACAGCAATGAGACACGTGCGTCCCAGGCCAGGCTGGAACCGTGGCATCCTCTCATCACTAGGCCGCAGTGAATAACACAATAAACAGTCGTTATTAACAATAGTTTACATTCCTCTAGCGCCTTTCATATGAGGCTCTCACAGTGCTTTACGAACAATCATTAACCACGGCGAAAATTAACGAACATTAATTAAAGCAGAGATGAGCCGGAACCAAAACCTCAGCTCTAACCGCCTCCAAACGCTGAGGACGTTCCTCACTGCCCCCCATCACTATATAGTAACTCCTCGCTTAACATTGTAGTTATGTTCCTGAAAAATACTACTTTAAGCTAAACGATGTTAAGCCAGAGGTGGGCAAACTATGGCCCCGGGCGCCACATCTGGCCTTCCAGACGTTTTGATCCAGCCCTCACGCTCTCCCTGGGAAGTGGAGTCTGAAGCTCGCCCCATCGCTCCAGCCGGGGAGCGGGGTCAGGCTCTTGCCCCACTCCGCACAGCTCCTGGAAGCAGTGGCACATCCCTTCTCCGGCTCCTATGTATAGGGGCAGTCAGGGGGCTCTGCACGCTGCCCCCACCCCAAGCACTACCCCCACAGCTCCCATTGGCCAAGAACCACAGCCAATGGGAGCTGCAGGGGCGGCACCTGCAGACAGGGCAGCGTGCAGATCTGCCTGGCTACGCCTCTGTGTAGGAACCAGAGGGGGGACATGCTGCTGTTTCTGGGAGCTGCTTGAGGTAAGCACCATCCGGGGACTGCCCACCTGCCTCCTCCCATGCCCCAACCCCCTGCCCCAGCCCTGATCCCCCTCACGCCCTCCGAACCCCTCAGTCCCAGCCCAGAGCACCCTCCTGCACCCCCAAACCCTCATCTCCAGCCCCACCCCAGAACTCACACCCCCAGCTAGAGCCCTCATGCCCTTCCGCACCCCAACCCCCAATTTCGTAAACATTCATGACCTGCCATACAATTTCCATACCCAGATGTGGCCCTTGGGCCAAAAGGTTTGCCCACCCCTGTGTTAAGTGAATCCAATTTCCCATAAGAATTAATGTAAATGGGGGGGTTAGGTTCCAGGTAAATTTTTTTTGCCAGACAAAAGACTATATTTTATATATATACACACACATACACACACACACACAGAGTATAAGTTTTAAACAATTTAATACTGTACACAGTAATGATGATTGTGAAGCTTGGTTGAGGGGGTGAAGTCAGAGGGTGGAAGACCATGGGATATTTCCCAGGGAATGCCTTACTGATGAACTAGTAATCAGCTGAGCCCTCAAGGGTTAACACACTGGTGTTAATGTAGCCTCACCCTTCTGCACTCTATAGAACACAAGGGTCTCTTCCCTACCTTTAAGACTGCTCATAACGCAGCCTTTCCCTACTTGCCTGCTCCTATGTCTGACTGCATCGCCCCCAGCATCCCCAGGCCTCCCACAATGGCAGCCTCCATCACCCAGTCATCTGCCTCTCCCACAAGCACCTTGGCTCTTTCTTCCACGGCTCCTGTACGCCTGGTTCATCGCTCCAGACTCATCGAAAAGGCCACAGCACTCTCCTTCAAATCCCTCCGCAAGACCCACTTCTACCATGCCACAGAATAATAATCATGCTGCTATTCTCTGTGGTAACGACCCTCATCCAAGCACGGCAGTGCTTAAATACATTAATGAATGAAGCTTCACAACCCATTACCCCCACTGACAGGAAGGTTGCTCTGGGGTGAATGTGACTTCACGGTCTTCTTCTTTCCTACACATCACAAATCCATACCTAGATTGTCCAGCCATCTGACTGCTGCTTTATCAAGGGTAGCAAGATGGTGCAGTCCCCCCTCCAAACTTCACTATTAAGAACCATGCTTCTTACCTGGGATTTTATCTTACCCTCAGAGAAGGTATATTAAGAGCTAATATTTATAGCAATACAACATCTCTGCTGCCCTGTTATAAAACTAAAGCTATGTATAAAATCCATTTTTACTATATGCTTTGTGTTCCCCTGGTCCAATATGGAAGAGCAACTGGTTCAGTAAAAATTCCTGAATACCTGGTTAAGTATTTGTGGTGTGTGAGTGGGAACTCTCAAACATTTTAATGAATAAAGGGAAGCTTAAGTGTAGTTACTGAATGAAACCAAGAGCCCAGAGTCTGCTGACATCACACCTAGCAATGTGTCAGTGAGGAAGGCTTCAGAATAACAGGAGATAGCCAGAGAGACTAAAGTTACATTGATGATGATCACTAGAATCCAGTGAAGAGGGATTTTCAGAAGCATCCAGTCACTAAACTCTGATCGATTTTCTGTCCTTGATCATTCAGCTTTTTCTAGAGTAGTCCTGAGCCTTCAGAAGAAACCAGTGCTGGTGGCCATTTCCCTAGATCTGTAGTAGGGACTCCTCTCTGTGTTCCTCCTCTATCACTTGCAGAGCTGACGAATGGCTTTTTCTCTTCCCTCTTTGAAAAATCTGCTCTTGCCTGTGTTTGTTCAGGTGCTGTGAAGGGCGGATGTGCTCGAGTTTTTAGTAGTTTCCTGAACAGGAATGTTTGTATCACTCCCTTTCTTTCTAGTCCATATCAAATTTTTCACAACCTCTTCTCTTAGCTCATCCTTTAAAATATGACAAAGTAAAACAAACAGATGATGAACATTCAGTTACTATCAATCAAATGGCCGGTACATTTTCCTAGCACCTGCTAGAGTTCTCTTAGAATTTGTTTTCTTATTCATTATGATGAAGTATTATAATACTTATTAATGTAGTTCCCCACTTAGAACAAAAGTGTAAGTTATACTGTCTGGCATGATTTTTTCCTATAAATAGTGTCCAATATTTCCTGGATGGATCTTAGACTCTGTAATTAGCTAATTTCGCATCATCTTAAACTGTGTAATGCCATAAAGATATAGATAAATCTGGCATAAAACAGCAACTGTTCTAGACAGGCCCATTTCCAAACCAAATATGTTGAAAGAGACACAAGGTGGGTGAAGTAATATCATTTCTTGAACCAACTTCTGTTGAGGAAAGAGACACACTTTCAAGCTTCCCAGAGCTCTCCTTCGGGTCTGGGAAAGGTAACCAGAGTGTAACAGCTAAATACAAGGTGGGATGGATTGTTAAGCAGAAGAGGTTCACGCATGTTGCAAGAAACCACTTATAACGAAGTGAGCATTTATCACCTCTGCAAATCATAGGACAAAGCAGGGTTAGTAGGTTACAAATTGTTGTAATGACCCGTAAAACCAGTGTCACTGTGAGCTGTAGCTCACGAAAGCTTATGCTCAAATAAATTGGTTAGTCTGTAAGGTGCCACAAGTCCTCCTTTTCTTTTTGCGAATACAGACTAACACGGCTGCTACTCTGAAAACTGTTGAGACCGTGATTTTCAGTGTCTAGCAGAGTTATGAATTTAAGCTCGTTTTTGAAAGGTGTTGTGAAGGTTTCCTTTGAGGACGAGGAATGGTAAGTCAGATAGGGAGTGACTGCTTTGTGAAAAGTTTCACTCATGGGTGACAGGGTGTTTTAGTCTTTTATCATTTTTCCAGTGTGAGTTCCTTCAAGAATGTAGTGATTGTCTGGTATCACCAGAATCTCTTCCACCAATAAAAGAAAGATTTTACCTCACCCACCTTGTCTCTCTCATATATGTTTAAGCAGCTTGGCTCCAGGTTACATGCCTGGGAGATTAAAGGGCCAAAAGACAAAAGAAAAAAGTCCATTTTAACTTCAGATTTTAAAGATTCTTTTGCTTTAAAGTGTGCTATCACTCAGGGTGGAATTAAGAGTCAATCAAGCCATTTGTTACTAAGGTTCATTACATTTTTTGGATTATAGATGTCAGTTTACTGCCGATCTTAATCCTGTGGCACATTTAATGCTGAATAATAATATTTTGCACTCCTATGGTACCTTCCATTCAGGGATCTCAAAGCACTTTACAAACATCATGGAGCAAATCATGGTCTATGCACAGCCCAAGTAATTGATTCTGCTGCTTCAGGGCCTTGCACAGCCACAGAGTATGCGTGTGTAAGTGTGGGGGGTAGGGGATAGTCAAGTCTCATGGTACCCCCTAAGGTAGGTATTTTTCCCATTTTACAGATGCAGAAAGTGAGGTGCATTGACCCAGACCCTCCAAGATATTTAGGCTCCTAACTTCCATTGAAATCAGGAGCCTGAATACCTTTAAAATCAATGGACATTAAATACCTTTGAGGATCTGGACCATAATGTTTAAAAGACTTGCCCCAAAGTCCCATAGTGACTCAGTGACAGAGTTGGGAATAGAGCCAAGGTCTCCTGATTTCAGAGTGCTTGGTACTAATCTCACTTCACCAGTGGGGACTTCAGAGTTTATGCAAACACACACTTGTTATCAGAGACTTCTGTGGCAAGCAGACATAGTCATGGCAGAGACACTCATACCATCCAGCAAACCCCTGCTCCAGTTGCTTGTGCATAGTAAATAAAAGACCAGACAACTCACCCCTGTCTCCTGTGCAGCTGCAAAGAAAAAGAAACAACCTCGTCAGAAAACAGTCTGGTGCATTTTGTATTGACACGTTTATGTATTAATGTCCCAGGGCCAAGTCCTACCCTTAGACACATGCACAGCTCTCTGCGATTCATTGGGGCCATGTGTGTGCACATCCGCAAAACGTGGCCCCACTCTGCTCTAACTGCGCTTTGCACTACACTTAGCAGCATCTTGAGGAATCACCCCGCTGGGAGAGGAAGGTGGTTATGTGACAATGCTAATCCAATGTGATTTGGGGCTCTAACAATGCTTTGCATTGATACAGCACCTAGCCTCTAAGGATCTCAGAGAGTTTTGCAAACAGCAAGCCACATAACCCTATAAGTTGGGCATTATGCCAAACAGCTACACTGTGGCACAAGGAAATTAAGCGATTTCCCAAATTCACACCTCTGGTCATTGGCAGAGCTGAGACTATTATCCAGGAGTCCTGATTCCCAGTCCCAGGTTATAACCAGTAAACAACATTCTCTCTTGGACCTGAGAACATGTTCTTCTCTTGGTAGATGGGGAAAACCTGAGATTCTTATTTCTGAAGGAGTAACAGGTTATGACCCAAATTACCGTTCCATTAACATCGCTGCTCCCCCAGTGAATGAAAAGGGAACTTTGTAAACACAGATCAGATACAAGCGGGAAAGATCATCAGAAGGGGAGAACTGGTCCAGGTCGCTTGGAGAATGTGAACAGCTGGTATTTTAAGCCACTGCAGAACCTGGCCTGGGAAAAAGGCCGGTTTTGGCCATGAGCTGGGGAGGGAGAGGATCTTCCCGAGCTGGGCGGGGGCATGTCCACTGCAGCTGGGGCGATAGCGCAGCCCCCTGGCCTGGGACCAGCCAGTTCACCCCGTAAAGTAGGTCACATTTAGGGTCAGCGGGTCTTAAAGGCAACCCTTTAAGAAGAGAGATTTAGACTCTCACAGGATTCTCAGTTTGAAGAGGCAATTCCAGTTACAGGTTGGCATGTTCCAGGGTGAAACAAAGACCAATGTGGGAAGTATGAACTCTGCCAGTCAGACCCCTTTAGAGACCCTTTGACAGGTTTCACAGGTCCCACGCTTTTCTTACTTATGTGGTAACTCACTTTCCCTCTTCTTCCTCCGCCATAAAAAGAACGCTGTTCCAGCAAATACAGATAAAACTGCCAGGGCAATTATCAATGCTATCGCTGTGACAGAAAGGCTTCTTTGTACACAGACTGCATTAGAAGTGGCTGTCCCGGCCTTTAGTTCTGCCATCCCTTCCTCTTCACACCTAAGATGAAGGAAGACATGTTATTAAACATGTCAGCATATCTACAGCCTTCCCACTGTCTCGGGGCACCCGTCATTCCATCAGATGGATTCCTTAATATTTTCTATCAAAAATGATAAGACTGCATCCAGATTCTGACCCTGCAGTCTGTGGACAGGCCAAACTTCCACTCATTTCAAGGCTGTAGGATTGGGCCCTTTGAGCGACAGACACCTGCACATTGAATAACAATGAATGAAAGGCGAGAACGCAGCGTGTACAGTCGGTGCAAGGGAAAAGGCCATGTGTCGTCAGAGTCACCTACTTGGTCCATGACTGACAGGTGCGTGACATGTTGGTTGCTGAGAAGGTTCCATCAGGGCAAACCTCACATACGTTGTCACGGAATTCTGTGCCTGTAAAAGAGGAGAACATAACTGGATACTTTCCTGAATGTGGGGCCTCAAGGAGCTTTGATTTCAGAAAGGTCTCCAGCCACATTTCCCCACTGTCACCATCCCCACTATGTTGCAGAGCCACCTAGGTCAGTTCAGGAGTTAGCACTTTAAGAATAGATCTGCGCTGGTGTTTTATTCCTGCCCTGAACTTATATCTGTCAGTACTCATAGAGCACAGGTACATGGGGAAAAATGCACCTCCTGCTGCCCCACATACCTGGGCCATTACAAGGGCCAACATCCCGAAGGAATAGTAAGACTCAAAATAATGGTGGCAAGTTGTGAAATAGCAAAAAAGCTGCAACAGAACACAGCAGTGAAGGGGTTAAATGCCCAAAGGACACTGGATGAAGATAAGGAAGCTGGAATTTGAAAATATTTAAGACTTATCCTGCCGTGCTACCAGTTTATGCTGGGATGTGGTCAGTGCTCACAGGCTAAGCAGGTGCTGGCTGGGAGACATGGGTGAAATCCTGGGGCATTGTCCCAACCCATTGTTTTCAGAGGGGCCAGGATTACTCCCCAGAATGTGTCTGGAAGTGATGCTGCCACCTACTACTTCTACCCTAGGTTCCCAAACACTATGGTGATGGGTCATGCAAGGAGATAGACTGGTGCAAGGAGAAGCTGTGCTTCTGCTGGCTTTCATATCACATGTAAACCTGAGGTCCCTGTGCCTTGGAAATCCCATGTACACATCTCCTAACCAAATTCCTCTCTGAGGAATTATAGTCCACTTACCTACATTCCTCTTGTAATTAATTGAAAATAATAGTCTTCACTTTCTGACCTAACCTGATGCAAGGCTATGAACTCTTAAATAGCTGTCTGCTTCCACCCCCCGATGAAACGATCCCCGAATATAGCCTGGAGATCATTTTATTACCTTTGGAAAGAGCTTGGAAATGTAAATATAACAACTATCGTAGGACACTGTCATGTACATGAACTTTTATTCTGAAGCCTCCAATTCCATATGGCCCGGGTAGGGGGAATACGGGTGGAGGGCACTCGGGTTTTGGGACTTGGACTTGCAGACCTATGTACATATTAGGTCGACTTACAGCCATCGCAGTAATGGCCTCGGTGGTGCATTTCCACACTACCCTCCTTGGGCCAGTGGTGCATGTCCTAACCAGGAGGGCTTCCACTGACCGAAGAGGGGCAGTGTGGGGAGCTGAGAGCCCGGTCTCTTGGCTCTGCTGGCAGCTCCCTGCCAGGAGCCTGGCTGCCCCACAGGCTCCTAGACTGCTGGCAGGCTGCCTCCCCTCATCCCCTGTTGACACCAACAAAATTAGGTCCCTTCCTAGCATGTCATTGTAAGGCACCTCTTTGCCTTTTCCTGCACTTCTCTGCAACCTCCCTTTCTGTCGCAGTGTAGAAATGCTACTGAACAGCCTGGCTGACGTGTAAATGGAAAAACACCACACACTCTGCTTTTTGACAGCAGCTCCCATCCCAGTATCTCCAAGTGCCGAGCTCTCAGGGCGTTAAGCTCACATCACCCTACACAGTATCCACCTTCAGAAATACACGCCTGGCTGGACAGTCATGGTTCTTTGCTCTAATAACTGATGAGCTTCAGATACTTTTGGTTAGTCAGGTACTCACATGTGCCCTTGATCAGAAACCCTAGGAATGGACCGTGGGCTGGATCCACACCCTCTCTCTCTGTAAAGGGACTTATGTGTCTACAGCAGCGATGTACTCCAGTGTAATTCACGGGGATTCTGCACCAGTGGAAAATGTGTTGCTGAACAAGTCTGTTGCACCATAGGAGCTCCAAAGGGGGCATTGTTTGAAGAAAAGGGTGTGTTTAGCACACTTGTCTTACTAACAGAATTCTCTGCCCAAAAGCGTGCTTGAGGGAGCTCTGTTTCTGGTGTGCAAGTTGAAGCTGAACTCACACTGCGCTCTGCTGCTGCATAGGTGGGCTGCCAACATGTGTGAGTGCAAACCCACGGCCTCATGCAAATTGCTGCCTGAAAGAGCATCATGCGAGTGTCCAACGACACCCAGAGGAGTCTCAGCTCGTCACAGCCTGTGACACTTAACCTTGCCCCTGTATTTTTCATGCATGTTTAGCAGGGGGATGGCAGCTTTGTGTCTGGCCTGGAAGACGACCGGAGCTCAGCTCTAGGGCAGGACCCCGGGCAGGGAAGAGCAATTCCAGAGTGAAGGACCCCTAGCAGCTTTCTCCCTCCCACCCCCTGCCTCCCACATATATTGAGGGAGCTCCATCTCAGTCAGGACCCAAACCACTTCTGTGTCTACAGGTCAAACCCAATTCCGACATGGTACCAACAGGCAACTCCACTCGTCAGCAGGCTGCTGAATTCTGCAGGGTCCGAAGGGTGGCCCCAGGCAGAGCACAGTTCAGCAGAGACTCCTGCCTTAGGGAGAAGAGGTCAGAGGCGTCTGGCCAGGCACGGATGGAAAGAAGTGCTGTTCACCACAGCTGTGACCTGGGCATCCAGCTCAGCACGTGCTCTGAACCACCCTGGAGCTGTGCAACGCTGTTACAACTGGCAGTCACGCTCCCTCAAAGAGGGGGGCCCATCTACAGCTCAGCCACTCTTCCGGCTGCTTCCCCAGCTCACCAGCATCATCTCAGTCTCACCTGGATCAAGTCTCCACCAGTTTGCCCTGCTCCAGATTCGTTCTGTGACTGCAGGGTTTCCCCTTGGTATCACAGAAGTTATGTTGCCTTACCAGGTTCTTTCACCATAGAGCCAGGCAGGCACATGGTGGAGGGACGACACATTTCACAGTCCAGGCCTGCAATGTGCCTGCAGAAATACCCCAGGTCGCAGCCGCACATGGTGTTCTTCGTATATGAGCATTTTTCTTTTATTATCAGTCTGGCTCCTAAAGGAAAGTTACATGCATCACAAATACATTTACACGGGAACTAAACAGAGCAGATACAAAAATTAATGTGTATCCCCAGTCATTGCTGATCCATGGTACAGGGCACAGGAGCTAGAGGGGTTTGTTATGATGACTCCATTTAACAAGTGTTGCCATGTAAACAGAACCCCCTGGAGCCTGATTCTCCGCTGCCCTGCACCTTGTGTTGTATTTACATCTGTGCAAAGGCTGCATGCAAAATGCTACCAAATCAGTGTTCTCTACACAGCTGCAGTTGAGATCACGCTTTGCACCCATTCTGCATTCATCTGCACGGGTGTGAATAATGACAAGGCGGTGGAGAATGAGGCTCCCAGTAGCCACAGATAAAGGACCACACCTCCAATCCAGCTGGTCACTGGAGGAGCACTCCACTGTAGTGAGATTTTGGAGTGGCCATAACACCTGCTACACAACCTCTCCTCCTGGCTGCCCAGCTGATCCCCTTGTGCTGGGACGGCCTTTGGGGCCACAGGCAGCTGATGTAAACTAGAGCAGCCTGCAGGCTGTTCTAATTCATGCTGGGGACCAGACCTTAATGCCCCCATAAACAGAGGAGCGCAATGGTTGCTTACTGTCACTCATGTCACTCCCGCCTCCTGAGGTAGTTGCGTGTTCCTCAGCCACTGCTCAGGATCTGGGCCCTGAAAGGGAAGGTTATAGCCTTCCCCACGTACAGTCCAGATCCTGAGGGTGCAGTGCTGCTGCTCTAGGACAAAGGATACCATCTGAAATGTTTGATTACAATTATTGTTTATTGTGTTTGTTCTTCTTCTGCTAAATCTAGAGATCCACTTTCCTCCTGAGAAGAATCTCCCGGGATGATTCCACAGACCTTAATCAGTGGAAGATGTGCGACTAAAGCCCATGCACTGTGCCAGAAATCTCCACTTCCGTGATTTGCCCAAGACTGCAAGGAACTCAGTAAGAGAACTGTGAGCAGAACCCAGGTCTCTTGACTTCCAGTCCTGGACCCTAACAACTAGGCTACTTTTGTATGTGTGGGCCGGGGGAGACAACTCAGAAAAAAATAATTAAAATCCACCCACACACAGAGCAGCTTCCTTACCTGCATCGCACAGTTTACATCTCATGCATTCCGTTAGGCCATTGGGATGCTCTGTATATGTGTCGTCCACACAAGGCATGCAAGTTGTGCTGCTACTTTCTCTACAATGTTTGACCACCCTAGTCCCTAAAGCAAACAAAACAATTAGCTCCTGTGTAAACCACGCTAATATATTTAATGCATTCATACAGGGATTGCAAAAGCAGGTCATTATGCAGGACAAATGCACACGCTATGTGTGTGGATTTTACATGTTGCACACACCATCACTGGAAATAAACGGTAAACGTCTCAGAACTAGACTGCCAGACCCGAAATCCTCTATTTCTGCACAACACAGGAACAGCGTAGATAGAAACAATCTCATAACTCACACCCCTCCCTTATCAGCAGTATCCCTAGTACAGTCGTGCTTAGACTCTGTGTACCGGATACGGGACCGTTGACAGATGCGTGTGTCCCCACTGTGACCAGTCAGGATCTTGGAAAAGATGCAGTTCTGAGTATTGTAGTTCCTCCTAGGGGGATGGAGAATCCCCAGGTGAAGCAAGTGACTGGAGGGATCATATGACCAGAAAGGGCCAGGGACTAAGAAGTCAGGTGGCTGCCTGTGGCCAGTCCTCTAGTACTATAAGAGGTAGATTGAGAGGTGAGGGGCTGGGGCAGTCCTGGTGTCCACAGCAGCCTGCTGGACAGCTGCCTGGCGCAGGGCTGTGGCTGGGCTGGGACTGGCAGAGGTCCCTGTGCAGAGGAAAGATCAGTAGGATCCTGATAGAAGGGGACTGTGAGGGGCTGGGGAAGGGCTGGGGGATCCTGGATGCAGGGCAAAGGGTGAATACAGTGAATCCTAATGGGGACAGTGTATTGTCTGTGTTACAGTCAATCAGGGCAGAGATCTGGGCCATGGGCCGTCAGGCCTAGAGATGGAAACAAGAGTTCAGCTGACCGGTCAGAGCTGGGTCCAGGGGGGCAGGGTCCAGGAACAAGCCAATGGTCAGTACTGGAGTGACAGAAGCTGAGTGCAAGAGCCGGAGGGTAAAGTAGGGTTGTAGTCAGAAGGCGCAGCCAAGGGTCAGAAGCCAAAGGGTTAACCAGAGTCACAGTCAGGAGGCATAACCAAGGGTTGGGGGTGGGGGTCCGAAGCCAGGACAGGGCTGGGGTAAGGACGGAAGCTGGCTGGAGCAGGGCTAGGACAGAGCAGGAGCAAGGACTAGGCAAGCCCAGCTGCAGGCAGGGTACACATTGAGCAGCCGCTGTTCTGCTCTGGGTGCCAGGCTGCTAAGCAGGACTCAGAACTGCTGATCCACCAGCCACTCGCGTGCTGTGACTGCCCCGCGATGCACTCGGCTTACTGGTTCCCCAGCAGTGAAGTCAGTCAAGGGAGCAGGCCAGCAGCCTGGTCCAACCTGACCTAGCCTCTGACAGGCCTCAACAGGTGAGGAAGAGAGGTGTTACGGAAAAAGTGACCTGCCCAAAGTATCACAGTACGTCTCCTTCTGGATCTCCTGTGTCCCAGGCCACAAGAACCATCCTCTCTATGTCCTCCACTGACAGGTGAGTAACAAGCAATGTAGATGTTTACATGGAGAGATCCGTGTCACCACCAGTCAGATTCACAGTAATAGAGGCGATCAATGTCTCCGGAGGAGGCCAGGCAATTGGACTCTCTTGGGAAGGGTCATGACTTTTAAAGAATGAATTATATATACCTACCAGCACTGCACATGGGACAGCATTCGCCATTTATTTCATATTCGCCTGGGTAGCATTTTACAGCTTCGGAAGGCGGCAGTTGTGTTATCAAGAAAACGACAAAAATCTTTAGGGAAAAAGAAGAAAGAGTTTCTGATTCGCATCATGGCAGCTCAAAAGCAGATGGGGAGGGGCTGGTAGCACTGTGGCACTGATTAGCCTCCCTGAGCCTGCGGTTCACCCACCGCCCATGGTTTTGCTCCTTGCTGCTCACTATTTTCCAAAAATGGAACACAGACAACATGTGGATTGAAACAGGCACCATCACCAGCATAACTGCCCAGCGTCGCTTCAGACCTGTGCATGCGATATGTGATCACATATTCCTGACTTCTGAGACATACCTCCTGCTGTACACCCAGTAACAGGATGTGTCACTGTGTCATCCCTATCTAGTATTGGGGGGGAAAAATCTGTGTTTAATGTTATCAAAACAAAGGGCGCTTACCACTTCAAAGGTCTTGCCAAACAGGGAGAGAGTGATGGACAAGCCGCAAATTCTGCAGCAAGGATGTTTTATACATGGTGTGTTTTGCCGAGTGCTCGGAATACAGTTGAATTTAGCACGAGCTTCAGGTTACACTGTAACACCCAAAATGGAAGGACTAAAATACGATTGGCCATGGAAAGCCCCAAACTGAGACCCATCAGCACACCTTCCGTGTGGGCCAAGCGTTATTCCCTGTGCTGGCCTGTCCCTCACGTCCACACAACCACGGAAACCATGGGAGGAAACGGCAGATACAAAACAACAAAACTATGGGGTTGGAGCAGCAAAGTCAATGCAAAGCACCACAACGAGCAACTGTCCATTTAGAATCCTCAAACATTTCCCCTTTCAAATGGCAACTTTGGGGGTCGGATTATTTGTTTTTCTAAAATCAGTGTCCGTTAAAAAAAACTTCTGCCAAGCTACACAATGAAAAGTCAATCCACTTAGACCCCCACAGCTCCAGGCTGAGTATCAGCTGATGAGAACAAACCAAAATCTCCCAGCGGTGTTTTTTTCCTACTAAATGAAGGCAGAAAAGTTATACTGTATTTTCAATAGCCATTTTGCTTGTGCTTTGCTGTTTCCACCAGATGGAGCCCAACAGCTTCTAAAATGCAGAGAGATTTTCTCGACCAAGGAATAAACAACCCCAAACTCCTGCAAGCCAAGGGTGTGTAGTTTGCGTTAGCAAAAAAAAGGGTAAATGTAAAAAATTCACATTCCTGGCATCTCATTATTAGTCACAGTTGACATAGGCACCCCCAAACCTCCCACAGTCTCTCTGCTGGGTTTGCTGGGCAGGTTCAATCTCATTAGCTCCATTTTATTTCAGGAGCTTTTGTGATCCACTTACCCAGAGCATGGTCCTGAGAACAGACCGCAGAGTGTGTGGGCTTCTGCCCCCCGCAGGGCATGGAGTCTCTGACCTCTACAGCTCAGCGCGGCCTCCAGGTCCTGATCATTGGCAACAAGCTTCAGGCCTCAGTGAGCCTGGTGCCACCGCCCTGTCCTGGGGTGTCCGTCCCCTGGAGCCTTCGCCCCCTTCTCCGGGGAATTCCCTGGGCCTGCTCGCAGGACACAAAGTCCAAAGTTCTAGGCTGGTTCCGGTTCTAATCCAGGCCCAGCAGCAGCCGCCAAGAGACCAGCTCCGACCCAGCCCAACTCAAAAGTGAAAGTGCAATTAGACAAGCAGGCGGGGACTATCCCAATGGGCTGGGCTTTAGGCTTATACTGTGTTGTTATACGGAAAGAGATACTTAAAGTCAACCCACCAAGGGCGCCAATTCGGGGGGCAGGGGAGGGCCGGAGCCCCCCCAGTTTCATACAGGAGGTGTGCAAGCTCCCAGGTGGAGCTCTTCACTACAGTACGGGGTTAGTGTGAGGTTGTGCACAGGAGAGGTGCCCCTGGGGCAAGGAGTCAGGATTTTGTTTACAAACAGAGGCTGGGTGATTAAGATAAGAAAGGGCTGGGGATTAAGTGTATGGAAGTTTAGCCTGTAAAAGAGAAATCCCTCTGTGGAGGGGGGAGAGGGAGGAGGGGTTGTGTTCGAGAGAACAGGGGAGGAAGAAAAAATACAGCAAAGCACTGAGCCAAGGTTACATTCAGAAAAGGGGGAGATTTGGGGATGTAGATGAAAAGACGGGGTCAGACCCAGAGCGGGGCTAGCCATGTATAGAGAGGCTCCCACTCTGTCTGTGGTATTTATGTGGCCTCATCACCATGGTATCTGAGGCTGCACATCACAACGTCTAATCTGTTTCTCCTCCCAGCCCCTCGGTGAGGTAGAGCAATGCTGTTATCCCCATTGTACAGGTGGGGCACTGAGGCACACACAGCCTTTTAAAGGCCAGATTTTCAAAGGTTTTCAGGCACCTAGTGAGATTTTCAAATGCACTTAGAAAGTTAGGTGCTTTGCAAACCCTATTAGATGCCAAGCTGTATCTTTGGGTGCCTAAAAACCTCTGTCCTTACAGCACTGGCCAGGGGTTAGAGAGGAAGTCCCTGGAGGGAGTAGAACCCAGGTGTTTCAGGGCTAGCTCCCTATCCAGCGACTCTGATAGATACTTCAACAAAAAAACTTCAAAAACACAGTCCAATGAGAGACTGCTGAATGGGAATTAATTTGCAAACTGGATATAATTAACTTGTAGGCTTGAATAGAGACTGGGAGTGGATGGGTCATTACACAAAATAAAACTATTTCCCCACGTTTATTCCCCTCCCCACCCCCACTGTTCCTCAGACGTTCTTGTCAACTGCTGGAAATGGCCCACTTTGATGATCACTACAAAAGGTCCGTCCATCCGTCGTCGTCCCCCCCGCTCTCCTGCTGGTAATAGCTCACCTTAAGTGATCACTCTGGTTACAGTGTGTATGGTAACACCCATTGTTTCATGTTCTCTATGTATATAAATCTCCCCAATGTATTTTCCACCGAATGCATCCGATGAAGTGAGCTGCAGCTCATGAAATCTTATGCTCAAATACATTTGTTTGTCTCTAAGGTGCTACAAGTCCTCCTTTTAACAACTGGATAGTACATGAGAGACGATGGGCAGCATGGCACTAGGCTGAGCAGGGAGAAGTTGTGTTTGATGCAGTGGAGCAGGGGAGACAGTGGAGCAGGGGAGCCAGTGACGTGGTAAAAGCGACAAGCCAGGGAAATTATCTTTGCAGCAGCATAGATATAAGCAGAGGAAAATTGCGTCACAGCATGCATTGCACGTACCCCTCCTATCCTGTGCAATTCACCTTAGCTAAAGCACAGCTCCCTAGCATTGCTTTTGAACAGGCCCTCCCCTAAGGCTCTGAGGCCAGCCATTTATGGGTAGATGTATCACCAAAAACAAACGGACTCCCTCTTATCTCTGGCCAAAGTTTGAGAGACTGCTTGCTGGTGGTGGAAAAGGAGAAGTGCTCTCTTGAAATCTGGTTTTAAATCCTTGTAGGTGTTTTAGAGCCCTAAGGTTAAAATACTCAGTCTGCAAAAGTAGCAGCATAGACATTGTCTAACGTTTTCCTTTAAGGGCTTTTATAGGTTATGAATACTACCACAATGCCGCATGATGGTGTAGTTTGTACACATGGGTGTAGTTTGGAGGGGCATAGGGAAGCAGAAGCAGATAAGGCTTTTTTTTAAACAACAAACAAAATCATCCAAAGCACGAGACTCGGTGGTGAAGGGGAACTTCAACTCCCCAGACATCTGCTGGGAAAATAACACAGCAGGGCACAGATTATCTAACAAGTTCTTGGAATGTACTGGAGACAAGTGTTTATTTCAGCAGACAGAGAAAGATACTAAGGGAGAGGCTGTTCTAAATTAGATTCTGACAAATTGGGAGGAACAGGTTTAGAATTTGAAAGAGGAAGGTAGCTTAGGTGAAAGCGATCATAAAATGGTAGTGCTCATGATTCTAAGGGAGGGTAGGAAGGAAAAACAGCACAATAAAGAAAATGGATTTCAAGAAGGCAGACTTTAGCAAACTCAGGGAGTTGGTAGGTAAGATCTCATGGGAAGCAAGTCTAAGGGGAAAAACAGTTCAAGAGACTTGGCAGTTTTTCAAAGAGAAATTAAGGGCACAAGAGCAAACTATCCCACTCTGTAGGAAAGTTAGGAAGTGTGGCAAGAGACCACCCTGGCTTAACCAGGAGTTCTTCAACGATCTGACACTCAAAAAAAGAGTCTTACAAAAAGGGGACACTGGGACAAATTACAAAGGAGGAATATAAATAACACAAGTATGTAGGGACAACATTAGAAAGGCCAAGGCACAAAATGAGATTAAACTAGCTAGAGACATAAAGGGTAACAAGAAAACATTGTACAAATACATTTGAATCAAGAGGAAGACCAAGGACAGGGTAGGCCCATTACGCAGTAAGGAGGGGGGGAACAATAACAGAAAATGTAGAAATGGCAGAAGTCCTAAATGACTTTTTGGTTTCCGTTTTCACCAAAAAGTGGAGTGGCAATTGGACCTCTAACAGTGAATGCCAGTGAAAGGGAGGTAGGCTCAGAGGCTAAAATAGGGAAAGAACAAATTAAAAATTACTTAGATAAGTTAAATGTCTTCAAATCATCAGGGCCTGATGAAATACATCCTAGAAAACTCAAGAAGGTGACTGAGAAGGTATCTGAGCCATTAATCAAGTATCAGGGGGTAGCCGTGTTAGTCTGTATTCACAAAAACAACAAGGAGTCCGGTGGCACCTTAAAGACTAACAGTCTTTAAGGTGCCACCAGACACCTTGCAACAGTGATTTTTTCACCCTTCAGCACTCTATAGAACACAAGGGTCTCTTCCCTACCTTTAAGACTCCTCATAACGCAGCCTTTCCCTACTTTTCTGCTCCTGTATCTTATTGCATTACCCCCAGCATCCCCAGGCCTCCCACAATGGCAGCCTCCATCACCCAGTCATCTGCCTCTCCCACAAGCACCTTGGCTCTTTCTTCCACAGCTCCTGTATGCCTGGTTCATCGCTCCAGACTCATCGAAAAGGCCACAGCACTCTCCTTCAAATCCTTCCGCAAGACCCACTTCTACCATGCCACAGAATAATAATCATGCTGCTTTTCTCTGTGGTAACGCCCCTCATCCAAGCACTGCAGTGCTTAAATACATTAATGAATGAAGCTTCACAACCCGTTATCCCCACTGACAGGAAGGTTGCTCTGGGGTGAATGTGACTTCACGGTCTTCTTCTTTCATACGCATCACAAATCCATACCTAGATTGTCCAGCCATCTGACTGCTGCTTTATCAAGGGAAGCAAGATCGTGCAGTCCCCCCTCCAAACTTCACTATTAAAAAGGTTTAGCTTTATTTCCAACCATGCTTCTTACCTGTGATTTTATCTCACCCAGAGAGAAGGTATATTAAGAGTTAATATTTACAGCAATACAACATCTCTGTGGCCCTGTTATAAAACTAAAGCTATGTATAAAATCCACGTTGACTACGTGGTCACCTGGTCCAGTATAGTCATCAGAGCAACTGGTCCAGTAGAGAGTCCTGGATACCAGGTAAGTGTTCGTGGAAGGTATGGTTACACTTGAGTTTTTGCACTGACAGTTTCACCGGTGATAGGGAATCGGTGAAAGAAAAGTGCTGGTTTCTATACTCACTTCCACAGGCGTCAGAGAGTGTTTACATTTGCAGCATTTCCATCCCTAATGAGAGCAGCGCAGTGAGGGCAGCTATCCCACAGTGCAGCTCTCCCCATTTTGACTATAGGTCTTGTGGTAAGTGGGGGTAAGCACAGGGTCCAAGCGGGCGATCCTTCGCTCTGTGGAGCAGCCAAGGTTACTTGGCCAGATGAGCACTTGCAAACAAAACAGGAAAGGGAGTTCCCGTGGCTTTACAGGGGGAGGGGCAGACATCGGTTTACCTGGCCTCAGAGCATCAGAGCTGCTGGCCAGAGTGATCACCCTAGGCACTGTGGGATATTCTCTGGAGGCTAAAAGCTTTTTTCACAGGAAGAACACGTCTCCACTTGCACATCACCGCAAAAGGATCAGCGGTAAGAACTGTACGCCTCTCGTGGAGGTGGTTTTCTGTTTGCGGTGGAACTTCTGTCATTGGCATTGTTCCTGAGTAGGCATGTTTTCAGTCCCATTCTCTGAAGTCTGCAACAAAGTTCTCTCTGCCTGTCTTTTAGACGGATCCTTTAAAATATGACAAAGTAAAACAAAGACATTTTGAACATTCAGTTACTAACAATCAAATGGCTGGTACATTGACCCATACACCTGCTGGAGTTCTCTTTCTTAGAGTTTGTTTTCTTAGTCATTATGATGAAGTATTATAATACTTATTAATGTCGTTCCCCACTTAGAACAAAAAGTTATACTGTCTGGCATCATTTTTTCCTATAAAAAGTGTCCAGTTTGCTGGACGGATCTTAGACTTTGTAACTAGCTAATTTCACATCATCTTAAACTGTGTAGTGCCATAAAGATATCGATAAACCTGGAATAAAACAGCAACTGTTCTTGAGAAGCCCATTTCCAAATCAAATATGCTGAAAGGGAGACAAGGTAAGTAAGGTAATATCTTTTCTTGAACCAACTTGTGTTGATGGAAGAGACAAGCTTTTGAGCTTCCCAGAGCTCTCTTTCAGGTCTGGGAAAGATAACCAGGGCGTAACAGCTAAAGGTGAGATAGATTGTTAAGCGTAAGAGGTTAACACATGTTGCAATAAACTATTTAAACAAAGTGGGAAATTAACACCTCTGCAAGTCATAGGACAAAGCAGGGTTAGGAGGTTACAAATAGTTGTAAGGACTGGTATAACCGCTGTCTCTGCTGAGTCCATGATTTAGGGCTAGTCTACACTGGCAATGCTAAAGTGCTGCCGTGACAGCGCTTTAACGTGGCTTGTGTGGTCGCAGCAGAGCACTGGGAGAGAGCTCTCGAGGGCTCTAAAAAAAAAAAAACCACCCCCATGAGGGGCGTAGCTCCCAGCCAGTGTAGACAAGCCCTTAGGGTCAAGCAGAGTTATGAACTTAAGGGCAAGTCTACACTTAAAAAGCTGCACCAGCAGAGCTGAGCTGCTGAAGCGCTTTAGTGAAGACACTACCATGCCCACGGGAGAGCTTCTCCTGTCGGCGTCGTTAATCCACCTCCGTGAGAAGCGGTAGCTTTGTTGGCAGGAGAAGTCCTCCCATCGACATAGCACTGTCTACGCTAGGGGTTGGGTTGGTGTAACTACGTTGCTCGGAGGGGATGGGGGGGATTTTTCACATCGGAGCGACTTCATGATACCAATGTAAGTTTGTAGTGCAGACCTTGCCTACGCTCCCAGGCTCGTCTTGTGCAGGTTTCCTTCGAGGACGAGGAACGATAAGTCAGATAGGGAGTGATTGCTTTGTGAAAAGTGTTCACACAAGGGTGTCTTTTATAATTTTTCGAGTGTGAGCTCATTGGAGAGTGTAGTGATTGTCTGGTATCGTCCACATAGTTTTTGGGGCAGCTGGTGCACTGGAAGAGGTTCACCAAAATCTGTCCCGCCTTGTATTTAGCTGTGGTGGTCCGGTTACCTTTCCCAGACCTGAAGAAGAGCTTTGTGAAGCTCAAAAGCTTGTGTCAACCACCAACAGAAGTTAGTCCAGGAAAGGATATGATCTCACCCACCTTGTCTGTCTCATGTATGTTTAAGCAGTTTGGGAAATAGGCTTCAGGTGGCACGCCTGGGAGATTAAAGGGCCAAAAGACAAAGGAAAAAAGTCCATTTTAACTTCAGATGTTAAAGATTCTTTTGCTTTAAAGTTTGCTATCACTCAGAGCCACCTGTTACAAAGGTTCATTACATTGTTTGGATGATAGATGTCCAAATAGTGGGGACCTTGACCTTGGGGCACGTTTAACGCCGAATTTTGCACTCCTATGGTACCTTCCATTTAGGGATCTCAAATCACTTCACAAACATCATGGAGCAAATCATGGTCTATGCACAGCCCAGGTAATTTGCTCTGTTGCTTTCTGGGCTTTGCACAGCCACAGAGTATGCATGTGTAAGTGTGGGGGGAAGAGTCAAGTCTTTGGTATCCCCTAAGGTGGGTAGTTTTCCCATTTTACAGATGCAGAAAGTAAGGCATATTTACCCAGATCCCCCAATATATTTACGTTCCTAACTTCCATTGAAATCAGGCGCCTAAATAACTTTAAAATCAATGGACATTAAGAGCCTAAATACTTTTGAAGATCTGGACCATAATGTTTAAGTGACTTGCTCCAAAGTCACATAGTGAGACACACACACACAAACACACACACTTGCAGCAAGCAGACATAGCCATGGCAGAGACACTCAAGCAAACCCCTGCTCCAGGTCTTGTGCATAGTAAATAAAAGACAAGACAACTCACCCCTGTCTCCTGTGCAGCTGCAAAGAAAAAGAAACAACTGCGTCAGAAAACAGTCTGGTGCATTTTGTATTGACACATTTATGTATTAACGTCCCAGGGCCAAGTCCTGCCCTTAGACACATGCACAGCTCTCTGTGATTCAATGTGGCCATGTGTGTGCACATCCGCAAAACGTGGCCCCACTCTGCTCTAACTGTGCTTTGCACTACACTTAGCAGCATCTTCAGGAATCACCCCGCTTGGAGAGGAAGGTGGTTACGTGACAATGCTAATCCAATGTGATTCTGGGCTCTAACAATGCTTTGCATTGATACAGCACCTAGCCTCTAAGGATCTCAAAGAGTTTTGCAAACAGCAAGCTATAAGGTGGGCATTATGTCAAACAGCTACACTACGGCAGAGGGAAATTGAGCGATTTGCCAAAATTCACACCTCTGGTCATTGGCAGAGCTGAGACTATTATCCAGGAGTCCTGATTCCCAGTCCCAGCTATAACCAGTAAACAATGTTCTCTCTTAGACCTGAGAACATGTTCTTCTCTTGGTGGATAAATGATGGGGCAAAACGGAGATGCTTATTTCTGAAGGAGTAACAGGTTATGAATAGAGCCCAAACTCCCGTTCCATTAACATCCCTGCTCCCACAGTGAATGAAAAGGGAACTTTGTAAACACAGATCAGATACAAGCGGGAAAGATCATCAGGAGGGGAGAACTGGTCCAGGTCGCTTGGAGAATGTGAACAGCTGGTATTTCTAGCCACTGCAGAACCTGGCCTGGGAAAAAGGCCGGTTTTGGCCATGAGCTGGGGAGGGAGAGGATCTTCCCGAGCTGGGCAGGGGGCATGTCCACTGCAGCTGGGGCGATAGCGCAGCACCCTGGCCTGAGACCAGCCAGTTCACCCCGTAAAGTAGGTCACATTTAGGGTCAGCGGGTCTTAAAGGCAACCCTTTAAAGAAGAAAAGGAGTACTTGTGGCACCTTAGAGACTAACCAATTTATTTGAGCATGAGCTTTCGTGAGCCGCTCATGCTCAAATAAATTGGTTAGTCTCTAAGGTGCCACAAGTACTCCTTTTCCTTTTGCGAATACAGACTAACACGGCTGTTCCTCTGAAACCTTTAAAGAAGAGAGATTTAGACTCTCACAGGATTCTCAGTTTGAAGAGGCAATTCCAGTTACAGGTTGGCATGTTCCAGGGTGAAACAAAGACCAATGTGGGAAGTATGAACTCTGCCAGTCTGACCCTTTAGAGACCCTTTGACGGGTTTCACAGGTCCCACGCTTTTCTTACTTACGTGTTAGCTCACTTTTCCTCTTCTTCCTCCGCCATAAAAAGACCACTACTCCAGCCACTGGAAGTACAAGTAACACTGGAAGGACAATTATCAATGCTATCGCTTTGACAGAAAGGCCTTTTTGTACACAAACGGCATTAGAAGTGGCTGTCCCGGCCTTTAGTTCTGTCATCCCTTCCTCTTCACACCTAAGATGAAGGAAGATATGTTATTAAACATGTCAGCATATCTACAGCCTTCCCACTGTCTCGGGGCACCCATCATTCCGCCAGGTGGATTCTTTAATATATTGGATCAAATATGATAAGACCTCATCCAGATTCTGACCCTGCAGTCTGTGGACAGGCCAAACTCCCACTCATTTCAAGGCTGTAGGATTGCGCCCTTTGAGCGATAGAAACCTACACATTGGAAAATTAAGTTATAAGGGCCCAAATAGTGAACAGAACATAGGATTAGACTGAAAAATACAAAGACAATAAATTGACTGTAGTGACCTCAGAAGTTTTTACCTGCCCACACCTCAGCGTAGGATTCTGTGTTTTTAATGCCTGTGTCACTGGCTCTAGGTTTTTTGCCGCCCCAAGCTCCGAGCCATGGCCACTGGTCGGCCTCAGAACAGACCGAGCCTGCGTCAGGGGCTGAACTGGCCCCCAGCTGCCCATGCCAAGGAGGCAGAAAGGTCTTTAGGACTTGGTGGATAATCGAAGAAGGAGCTGGTTTTCAAGTCTTTATATTTGCAAACCCTGCCCGCTCCTGTGTGGCCATGGGGCTCTCTGGCCATGGAACTGGGGCTGTTACACTGCATAGGTGGCCCAGGATCTGGATCCACACAGTCTCTCTGCCATGTCACTGGGCTCTGTGCAGTGAGGATCTGGCAGAGGGGGCTGTGGTTGGAATCCACCAGCCATCCCATCTCACGGTTATAAACAGCCCCGAGGTGAATCCACAGAGAGTGCCCAGAGTATGGAAAGGGATTCCTGGGGAAAGGATTTCCCCAACACACAGCTCACAGCTGTACTGACTTAGGGTTACGTTTCCCAGCTGCTGAACTTCAGGGCATCTCTAACCAGGTCAATTATAGCCGCAAAATTCAGGTACAAAGAAATAATGATGAATGAAAGGCGAGAACGCAGCGTGTAAAGTCGGTGCAAGGGAAAAGGCCATGTGTCGTCAGAGTCACCTACTTGGTCCATGGCTGACAGGCGCGTGACATCTTGGTTGCTGAGAAGGTTCCATCAGGGCAAACCTCACATACGTTGTCACGGAATTCTGTGCCTATAAAAGAGGAGAACATAACTGAATTCTTTCCTGAATGTGGGGCCTACAGGAGCCTTGATTTCAGAAAGGTCTCCATCCACATCTCCCCACTGTCACCACCCCCACCATGTTGCAGAGCCATCTCGGTCAGTGCAGGAGTTAGCACTTTAAGAATAGATCTGCGCTGGTGTTTTATTCCTGCCCTGTACTTAAATCTGTCAGTACTCATAGAGCACAGGTACATGGGGAAAAATGCACCTCCTGCTGCCCCACATACCTGGGCCATTACAAGGGCCAACATCCCAAAGGAATAGTAAGACTCAAAATAATGGTGCCAAGTTGTGTAATAGCACAAAAGCTGCAACAGAACACAGCAGGGGTGGAGGGCAATCGGGTTTTGGGACGTGGACTTGCAGACCTATGTATATATTAGGTCGACTTACAGCCACCGCAGTAATTGCCTCGGTGGTGCATTTCCACACTACCCTCCTTGGGCCAGTGGTGCATGTCCTAACCAGGAGGGCTTCCACTGACCGAAGAGGGGCAGTGTGGGGAGCTGAGAGCCCGGTCTCTTGGCTCTGCTGGCAGCTCCCTGCCAGGAGCCTGGCTGCCCCACAGGTTCCTGGGCTCCTGACAGGCTGCCTCCTCCCACCTCCTGTTGACACTGACATAATTAGGTCCCTTCCTAGCATGTCATTGTAAGGTGCCTCTTTGCCTTTTTCTGCACTTCTCTGCAACCTCCCTTTCTGTCATAGTGTAGAAATGCTCTTGAACAGCCTGGGTGACATGTAAATGGAACAACAACACACACTCTGCTTTTCGACAGCAGCTCCCATCCCAGTATCTCCAAGTGCCGATCTCTCAGGGCGTTAACCTCACATCACCCCATGCAGTATCCACCTTCAGAAACACACACCTGGCTGGCTGGACAGTCAAGATCATTAGTTATGAGAGCAAAGAACCGTGAGGTACTTTTGGTTCGTCTGGAACTCACACGTGCCCTTGATCAAAAGCCTTACCAATGGACCATGGCCTGGATCCACACCCTCTCTCTCTGTAAAGGGACTTATGTGTCTACAGCAGTGATGTACTGCAGTGTAATTAACAGGGATTCTGCACCAGTAGAAAATGTCAGGTTTCAGAGTAGCAGCCGTGTTCGTCTGTATCCACAAAAAGAAAAGGAGTACTTGTGGCACCTTAGAGACTAACAAATTTATTTGAGCATAAGCTTTCGTGAGCTACAGCTCACTTCATGGGACGCAGGTAGTGGAAAATACAGTGGGGAGATTTTATATACACAGAGAACATGAAACAATGGGTGTTACCATACACACTGTAACAAGAGTGATCAGGTAAGGTGAGCTCTTACCAGCAGGAGAGCTGCGGGAGGGGGGCGGTGGGGGGAAGGAAGGGACAACCTTTTGTAGTGATAATCAAGGTGGGCCATTTTCAGCACTTTACAAGAAGGTGTGAGGAACAGGAGCGGCCCCGGGGGGGGGTAAGGGGGGAGAATAAACATGGGGAAATAGTTTTACTTTGTGTAATGACATATCCACTCCCAGTCTTTATTCAAGCCTAAGTTAATTGTATCCAGTTTGCAAATTAATTCCAATTCAGCAGTCTCTCGTTGGAGTGTGTTTTTGAACTTCAACCAAAAAACTTCAAAAACAGACTCAAACGAGATCCCCCCACTGTATTTTCCACTACATGCATCCGATGAAGTGAGCTGTAGCTCACGAAACCTTATGCTCTAATAAATTTGTTAGAGTCTAAGGTGCCACAAGTCCTCCTGTTCTTTTTTCAGTGGAAAATGTGTTGCTGAACAAGTCTGTTGCACTATAGGAGCTCCAAAGGGGGCATTGTTTCAAGAAAAGGGTGTGTTTAGCACACTTGTCTTACTAACAGAATTCTCTGCCCAAAAGCGTGCATGAGGGAGCTCTGTTTCTGGTGTGCAAGTTGAAGCTGAACTCACACTGCAGTCTGCTGCTGCGTAGGTGGGCTGCCAACATGTGTGAGTGCAAACCCACGGCCTCATGCAAATTGCTGCCTGAAAGAGCATCATGCGAGTGTCCAACGACACCCAGAGGAGTCTCAGCTCGTCACAGCCTGTGACACTTAACCTTGCCCCTGTATTTTTCATGCATGTTTAGCAGGGGGATGGCAGCTTTGTGTCTGGCCTGGAAGACGACCGGAGCTCAGCTCTAGGGCAGGACCCCAGGCAGGGAAGAGCAATTCCAGAGTGAAGGACCCCTAGCAGCTTTCTCCCTCCCACCCCCTGCCTCCCACGTATATTGAGGGAGCTCCATCTCAGTCAGGACCCAAACCACTTCTGTCTCTACAGGTCAAACCCAATTCCGACATGGTACCAACAGGCAACTCCGCTCCGTCAGCAGGCTGCTGCATTCTGCAGGGTCCGAAGGGTGGCCCCAGGCAGAGCACAGTTCAGCAGAGACTCCTGCCTTAGGGAGAAGAGGTCAGAGGCGTCTGGCCAGGCACAGATGGAAAGAAGTGCTGTTCACCACAGCTGTGACCTGGGCATCCAGCTCAGCACGTGCTCTGAACCACCCTGGAGCTGTGCAACGCTGTTACAACTGGCAGTCACGCTCCCTCAAAGAGGGGGGCCCATCTACAGCTCAGCCACTCTTCCGGCTGCTTCCCCAGCTCACCAGCATCACCTCAGTCTCACCTGGATCAAGTCTCCACCAGTTTGCCCTGCTCCAGATTCGTTCTGTGACTGCAGGGTTTCCCCTTGGTATCACAGAAGTTATGTTGCCTTACCAGGTTCTTTCACCATAGAGCCAGGCAGGCACATGGTGGAGGGACGACACATTTCACAGTCCAGGCCTGCAATGTGCCTGCAGAAATCCCCCGGGGCGCAGCCGCACATGGTGTTCTTCGTATATGAGCATTTTTCTTTTATTATCAGTCTGGCTCCTAAAGGAAAGTTACATGCATCACAAATACATTTACACGGGAACTAAACAGAGCAGATACAAAAATTAATGTGTATCCCCAGTCCTTGCTGATCCATGGTACAGGGCACAGGAGCTAGAGGGGTTTGTTATGATGACTCCATTTAACAAGTGTTGTCATGTAAACAGAACCCCCTGGAGCCTGATTCTCCGCTGCCCTTCACCTTGTGTTGTATTTACATCTGTGCAAAGGCTGCATGCAAAATGCTACCAAATCAGCGTTCTCTACACAGCTGCAGTTGAGATCGTGCTTTGCACCCACTCTGCATTCATCTGCAGAGGATCTAGCAGAGTTTAGCAGAGGGTCTAGCAGGGTGTGAATAATGACAAAGGCGGTGGAGAATGAGGCTCCCAGTAGCCACAGATAAAGGACCACAACCTCCAAGCCAGCTGATCACTGGAGAAGCACTCCACAGTAGTGGGATTTTGGAGTGGCCATAACACCTGCTACACAACCTCTCCTCCTGGCTGCCCAGCTGATCCCCTTGAGCTGGGAGGGCCTTTGGGGCCACAGGCAGCTGATATAAACTAGAGCAGCCTGCAGGCTATTCTAATTCATGCTGGGGACCAGACCTTAATGCCCCCATAAACAGAGGAGCGCAATGGTTGCTTACTGTCACTCATGTCACTCCCGCCTCCTGAGGTAGTTGCGTGTTCCTCAGCCACTGCTCAGGACCTAGGATCTGAAAGGGAAGGTTATAACCTTCCCCAAGTACAGTCCAGATCCTGAGGGTGCAGTGCTGCTGCTCTAGGACAAACGATACCATCTGAAATGTTTGATTACAATTATTGTTTATTGTGTTTGTTTTTCTTCTGCTAAATCTAGAGATCCACTTTCCTCCTGAGAAGAATCTACTGGGATGATTCCACAGACCTTAATCAGTGGAAGATGTGCAACTAAAGCCCATGCATTGTGCCAGAAATCTCCACTTCCGTGATTTGCCCAAGACTGCAAGGAACTCAGTAAGAACTGTGAGCGGAACCCAGGTCTCTTGACTTCCAGTCTTGGATCCTAACAACTAGGCTGCTTTTGTATGTGTGGGCCGGGGGAGACAACTCAGAAAAAAATAATTAAAATCCACCCACACACAGAGCAGCTTCCTTACCTGCATCGCACAGTTTACATCTCATGCATTCCGTTAGGCCATTGGGATGCTCTGTATATGTGTCGTCCACACATGGCATGCAAGTTGTGCTGCTATTTTCTCTACAATGTTTGACCACCCTAGTCCCTAAAGCAAACAAAACAATTAGCTCCTGTGTAAATTAGGCTAATATATTTAATGCATTCATACAGAGATTGCAAAAGCAGGTCATTATGCAGGACAAATGCACACGCTATGTGTGTGGATTTTACATGTTGCACACACCACCACTGGAAATAAAAGGTAAACGTCTCAGAACTAGACTGCCAGACCCGAAATCCTCTATTTCTGCACAACACAGGAACAGCGTAGACAGAAACAATCTCATAACTCACACCCCTCCCTTATCAGCAGTATCCCTAGTACAGTCGTGCTTAGACTCTGTGTACCGGATACAGGACCGTTGACAGATGCGTGTGTCCCCACTGTGACCAGTCAGGATCTTGGAAAAGATGCAGTTCTGAGTATTGTAGTTCCTCCTAGGGGGATGGAGAATCCCCAGGTGAAGCAAGTGACTGGAGGGATCATATGACCAGAAAGGGCCAGGGACTAAGAAGTCAGGTGGCTGCCTGTGGCCAGTCCTCTAGTACTGTAAGAGGTAGATTCAGAGGTGAGGGCCTGGGGCAGTCCTGGTGTCCACAGCAGCCTGCTGGACAGCTGCCTGGCGCAGGGCTGTGGCTGGGCTGGGACTGGCAGAGGTCCCTGTGCAGAGGAAAGATCAGTAGGATCCTGATAGAAGGGGACTGTGAGGGGCTGGGGAAGGGCTGGGGGATCCTGGATGCAGGGCAAAGGGTGAATACAGTGAATCCTAATGGGGACAGTGTATTGTCTGTGTTACAGTCAATCAGGGCAGAGATCTGGGCCATGGGCCGTCAGGCCTAGAGTTGGAAACAGAGTTCAGCCGACTGGTCAGAGCTGGGTCCAGGGGGGCAGGGTCCAGGAACAAGCCAATGGTCAGTACTGGAGTGACAGAAGCTGAGTGCAAGAGCCGCAGGGTAAAGTAGGGTTGTAATCAGAAGGCGCAGCCAAGAGTCAGAAGCCAAAGGGTTAACCAGAGTCACAGTCAGGAGGCATAACCAAGGGTCGGGGGTGGGGGTCCGAAGCCAGGACAGGGCTGGGGTAAGGACGGAAGCTGGCTGGAGCAGGGCTAGGACAGAGCAGGAGCAAGGACTAGGCAAGCCCAGCTGCAGGCAGGGTACACATTGAGCAGCTGCTGTTCTGATCTGGGTGCCAGGCTGCTAAGCAGGACTCAGAACTGCTGATCCACCAGCCACTTGCGTGCTGTGACTGCCCCGCGATGCAACTCGGCTTACTGGCTCCCCAGCAGTGAAGTCAGTCAAGGGAGCAGGCCAGCAGCTGGTCCAACCTGACCTAGCCTCTGACAGGCCTCAACAGGTGAGGAAGAGAGGTGTTACGGAGAAAGTGACTTGCCCAAAGTATCACAGTACGTCTCCTTCTGGATCTCCTGTGTCCCAGGCCACAAGAACCATCCTCTCTATGTCCTCCACTGACAGGTGAGTAACAAGCAATGTAGATGTTTACATGGAGAGATCCGTGTCACCACCAGTCAGATTCACAGTAGTAGAGGCGACCAATGTCTCTGGAGGAGGCCGGGCAATTGGACTCTCTTGGGAAGGGTCATGACTTTTAAAGAATGAATTATATATACCTACCAGCACTGCACATGGGACAGCATTCGCCATTTATTTCATATTCGCCTGGGTAGCATTTTACAGCTTCAGAATGGGGCAGTTGTGTTATCAAGAAAACGACAAAAATCTTTTGGGAAGAAAAGAAGAAAGAGTTTTGGATTTGCATCATGCAGGCTCAAAAGCAGACTGGAAGGAGCTCGTCGCACTGTGGCACTGATTAGTGCTGCGATGCTTTTGCCTAAAGCATTTTGTGTCCCTCAGGTTCAAGGTGGGGATTCAACAGTGACAACACTCCTAGCAAGCTCTTCTCAACCCTGACCCGGATGCAATGAGCTCTCGTGTCTACAGAGCAGCTTCCATCTCCTCTCTCACACCGCTACAGAGACACCACTGAAAGCAATAGGAGTTGGGGGCACTGTTTAGGAAGTGCTCAGCACACTGCAGGATCAGGCCCTTTAAGTGTCTTTTGATGTTTCCTTTGCAGTAGGAAGCAGTGTTCGCAAACTGCATGTTACTGCAATAACTTCAATGACCCCATGAGCATGTGCCTCAGTCGTGTCTGGGTATAAGCGTCATGTGCTGAGTTGCTCTCTCCTGACACCCAACAAGGAGCTATTCCAACAAGGAAAACAACAACATGGGTTCTGGAAGCCTGGGTCCTTCCACCTGCTCTGGGCCAGGGGCTCGGGACATGGGCAGGGGGCTGCTTTCACCTCCACCGTGGGTGGGGTCCACCGCTCCTGCAGACTTTTGGGAGGGCTCTGGCGCCCTTGCTCTGGGCTGGGGCTACTGAGGGCCGGCCCGTAGCCAGAGACTCTGGGCGGCTGGAGCCAGTGCTTGCATCGCCCGCCCACCCCGCGCTCCAGGGCTGCGGGCCCTGCTGCCCAGCCACTGCTCTGGGGCTCAGGCTGGGGGCCGCGCTGCCTGCCCACCGAGCGCTCCAGGACAGAACTGTGTACGAGCCAAGGCAAGGAAGACTTTGGTAGTGCAAGCACATTCAATGGAGATCATAATGATGAACAAGATGATAATGATGTTGACTAGAAATGTTACCAGCACTCTTACATTTCCATGATACTTATGACAAGTTTATTATCATATTTTGTTTTACCCTTTAGGGTATTCTTGTGATGCTTTGAGGTCACAAAGAAATCCAATTTTATCTCTTGAAATAATACATAGAGTCATTCAATTAACAGAAACAAATGCAAATTTCAAAGTGGTAATTTTAATGTGTTCATGGTGTCACTGTTTATCTCCGCTTCTGGGGTAACGGCACCACTTGACAGCTCCACATCATACTTCATCTTAAAGTAGACATATGAAGCTTTCAAATGATGTGTGATGTGTATTTGTACAGAGAGACTACATTAAGATGACCAAATCGATGGTGTCTGACGCTCACCTACATCGCCATTTCCTCAGTACCACTATCCAGATACTGGGTCAAACTCTGCTCTCATTTAAACCTTGAATAATTCTACTGACATTAGTTTGGCTAGAATCCAGCCTTTACAGCCCTGGGACATGATCCTCCATCCCTGACTCATGTGTGTGCTTAGCTCAGTTTGGGTCTAATCATGTGCATCACAGTGATGGGTTTGGATTCATAGAACGTGGCCTTTGACATTTCAGCTAAAGCCGCTTTCAGTAATGATTTTTCTAAATCCAGAATCATGGGGGATACCCTGTTAGACACTTGGAAATCATATTCCTTTTTCTTCCCGTATATTCTCTTTCCCTTTTACCCATGGTGCATTTTGCCAAGTACTTATAATACAGTTGAAATTAGCAATATGACTGGCCAAGGAAAGCCCCAAACTGAGACCCAACAGCACAGCTTCCGTGTGGGCCAAGTGTTATTTCCTGTGCTGGCCTGTCCCTCACGTCCATACAACCATGGAAACCATGGGAGGAAATGGCAGATACAAAACAACAAACGATGGGGATAGAGCAGCAACAAATTCAATACAACGCACCACAACGAGCGATTGTCCATTTAGAATCCTCAAAGTTTTCCCCATTCAAATGGCAACTTTTGGCGGTAGGATTGCTTGTTTTTCTAAAATCAGTGTCCGTTAAAAAAAGCTTTTGCCAATCTACACAATGAAAAGTCAATCCACTTACACCCACCCCCCCCCCCCCAGCTCCAGGCTTTTGAGAACAAACCAAAATCTCCCAGCAGTATTTTTTCCTACTAAATGAAGGAGGAAAACTTGTATTTTTAAGATCCATTTTTGTTGGTCTTTGCTGTTTCCACCAGATGGAGCCCAACAGCTTCTAAAATGCAGAGAGATTTTCTCAACCAAGGAATAAACAACCCCAAACTCCGGCGGGCCAAGGGCGTGCAGTTTGCGTTTGTAAAAAGGATAAAAGTAAAAAATTCAAGTTCCTGGGATCTTCTTATTAGTCACAGTAGATTCCCACAATCCCTCTCCCTACCATCCTCCACTCCCTCCCCCATAAAGGCACCCCCAAACCTCCCACAGTCTCTCTGCTGGGTTTGCTGGGCAGGTCCGATCTCGTTACCTCCATTTTATTTCAGGAGCTTTTGTGATCCACTTACCCAGAGCATGGTCCTGAGAACAGACCGCAGAGTGTGTCTGCTTCTGCCCCCCGCAGGGCATTGGGTCTCTGACCTCTACTGCTCAGCGGGGCCTCCAGGTCCCGGTCATTGGCAAACTGCTGGCCTCGGTGAGCCTGGTGCCAGCGCCCTGACCTGGGGTGTCCGTCCCATGGATTCCCTGCCCCCTTCTCCAGGGAGCTCCCTGGGCCCGCTCTCAGGACACAATTCCAAAGTTCTGCTCCGGTTCGGGGTCTAATCCAAGCCCGATGGCCCAGCAGCAGCAGCTGCCACGAGACCAACTCCGACTCAGTCCAAGGCTCACTGAAAGTGAAAGTGAAATATGCAAGGAGGCAGGGACTTTCTCAATAGGCTGGTATACAGGATTATATTGTTATAGGGAGAGAGACACTTAATGTAAACCCACAGTATAGTGGGCACATAGTGTTGACCCTGGAGGGGTCACATGGAGGTAAAAAACTATCTGTGCCATGGCTACATTAGGATTTTAAATCCAGATAATTCTCTACATATAAAAACAGGCCTGTTTTTCTCCAGTGAAGACACGGCCTATGTCGTGTTATAACGTCCTCTCTTATTCTGTGTCTCGGGCCCCAGGTCAGCGTTGCGAACGCTAGAGCCAGCTCTGGCGGAGAGATTCCTGCCAGTCTAGCTTTGTCAAGCAGGGTGTGGTGTGATCTCTGACCACCAAAGCCGCCAGTACAGATGCAGTTATAGAGGCAGAACAGCATTTTGCCAGTACAGCTTGTTTTCCGGGGGTGGGGGTGGGAATAACCTTTACAGGTAAAATCACAGTGTTGCCAGTATAAAGTGTCTCCCCATCAGGAGCGCCGTGCCAGTCTATCTACACCGCTAAAGCACTCCTAGCCAAAGGCTACGTCTACACTGCAAAAACGAGTGCCGTGGCAGGGGGGTGCTGGCAGGCTGTTGGGGTCAGAGTGCTGCTGACCCAAAGCTGAACAGCCACAAGACACCCAGGATTACAAGACAGATGCTGACTGAGCCCCTTCCTGGCCTGGGTGAACACCAAAGCATCTCAGCAGCATTAAACCTTCTAAATTTCTTGCGGGGGCAGAGGGGAGGTTGGATAAATGGAAAGAAAAGGGAAGGGGGTGAGGGAGACAGGGCAGGAGAAGGGAAGAGGGGCAGGTGTGGAACAGGGGAGGTGACGAGACTTAGGCTGTAATGTAGACAGAACTTGTGTTGCTCAGGAATATGAATAAACCACCCCCCTGAGCAACATAAGTAACACAGACATAAGCGCTCGTGTGCACAGCACTATGTCGGCGGACACATGTAGCTTCTGCCATTTGTGGAGGTGGTTTTATTATGCCAAAGGGGGGAACTCCCTCCCGTCTGCTGTGAGTGGGTACCTGGGACGGGCTACACTGAAAATGCCACACTCAGGGCAAGAAATAGGGCAGACAATCCCCAAGCTGGTGGTTATTTCTATAATTAGATCAACCAAGCCAGTAACACAAATGGCTTCTGCAGTACCATTGTGGTTAACCAGAAGCCAAATACAGTCCCCCTTAGGCATTCCAGCCCTCAGCTCCCAGCCAGATACTAATCTCAGAGGATCAGGCATATACCCCACAGGTCAATATGAATCTCAGATCTTACCCAAATATCAAGTTGTCAGCCAATCCTTAGTAAACTATCGAAAGATTTATTAATAAAAGAAAATAATAGAGTTACAAATGGTTAAGGAACCATATACCTACAAGTGATTGCAAAGTCCTTATATTAAGTTTGTAGCAGAGATGGAATAAACTGCTGGTTTGCAAAAGAATCTCTGGAATCACCCAAACAGATTGGGGGTCATCAATACTTCTTCAGAGCCTCCTTGTTAGAAATCCAGTCCAGAGAAATGAAGCAGGAAATGAAGAGAAAATGGAGATGACTCAGGGGTCTTTTATATCCTCTGCCATGTGCTTGGAATTTTACTGTCCCAAACAAAGCCCAGAGCCCCTGTTTGTGGAAAGTTACTGACCCAAGCTGGAGTCCAGAGTCACATGAGCATATCACATGTCCTTCCACAGTTTGCTGACTCAGGGGGGTGGCCATTGGCCCCTGGCTGTCTGAAGCATCCTCAGGAAGAACTATCCAGAGGGGATGAGTTTCTTCAATGGCCCATTGTGAGAGCTGTTTGTCCTTGATGGGCCATCCACACACAGCTGTCTAGCCTTGATGTAAATTCTATCAGGGTGGGGTTGGGTCGGCCAGCAACACAACACATGTGTAAGATCCAAGTACACAGCCAATATTCATAACTTCAGATACAAAGTGATACATGCATATAAACAGATAATCATACTTAGCAAATCATAACTTTTCCACTTATCAGAGGGGTAGCCGTGTTAGTCTGTATCTACAAAAAAAACGAGGAGTCCAGTGTCGCCTTAAGGACTAACAGATTTATTTGGGCATAAGTTTTCATAGGTAAAAAACCCACTTCTTCAGATGCATGGAGTGAAATTTACAGAACAGGCATAAATATACTGGCACATGAAGAGAAGGGAGTTACCTTACAAGTGGAGAACCAGTGATGAAAAGGCCAATTCAGTCAGGGTGGACGTGGTCCACTCCCAATAATTGATGAGGAGGTGTCAATGCCAAGAGAGGGAAAATTGCTTTTGTCCTGAGCCAGCCACTCCCGGTCCCTATTCAAACCCAAATTAACTCTGTTAAATTTGCAAATGAATTGTAGCTCAGCAAAAAGAAAAGGAGTACTTGTGGCACCTTAGAGACTAACCAATTTATGTGAGCATGAGCTTTCGTGAGCTACAGCTCACTTCATCAGATGCATACCGTGGAAACTGCAGCAGACTTTATATACACACAGAGAATATGAAACAATACCTCCTCCCACCCCACTGTCCTGCTGGTAATAGCTTATCTAAAGTGATCAACAGGTGGGCCATTTCCAGCACAAATCCAGGTTTTCTCACCCTCCACCCCCCCCACACAAATTCACTCTCCTGCTGGTGCTAGCCCATCCAAAGTGACAACTCTTTACATAATCAAGTCGGGCTATTTCCTGCATAGATCCAGGTTTTCTCACATCCCCCCCACCCCCATACACACACAAACTCACTCTCCTGCTGGTAATAGCTCATCTAAACTGACCACTCTCCAAGTTTAAATCCAAGTTAAACCAGAACATCTGGGGGGGGGGGGTAGGAAAAAACAAGAGGAAACAGGCTACCTTGCATAATGACTTAGCCACTCCCAGTCTCTATTTAAGCCTAAATTAATAGTATCCAATTTGCAAATGAATTCCAATTCAGCAGTTTCTCGCTGGAGTCTGGATTTGAAGTTTTTTTGTTTTAAGATAGCAACCTTCATGTCTGTGATTGCGTGACCAGAGAGATTGAAGTGTTCTCCGACTGGTTTATGAATGTTATAATTCTTGACATCTGATTTGTGTCCATTTATTCTTTTACGTAGAGACTGTCCAGTTTGACCAATGTACATGGCAGAGGGGCATTGCTGGCACATGATGGCATATATCACATTGGTGGATGTGCAGGTGAACGAGCCTCTGATAGTATGGCTGATGTTATTAGGCCCTGTGATGGTGTCCCCTGAATAGATATGTGGGCACAATTGGCAACGGGCTTTGTTGCAAGGATAAGTTCCTGGGTTAGTGGTTCTGTTGTGTGGTATGTGGTTGTTGGTGAGTATTTGCTTCAGGTTGCGGGGCTGTCTGTAGGCAAGGACTGGCCTGTCTCCCAAGACTTGTGAGAGTGTTGGGTCATCCTTTAGGATAGGTTGTAGATCCTTAATAATGCGTTGGAGGGGTTTTAGTTGGGGGCTGAAGGTGACCGCTAGTGGCGTTCTGTTATTTTCTTTGTTAGGCCTGTCCTGTAGTAGGTAACTTCTGGGAATTCTTCTGGCTCTATCAATCTGTTTCTTTACTTCTGCAGGCGGGTATTGTAGTTGTAAGAAAGCTTGACAGAGATCTTGTAGGTGTTTGTCTCTGTCTGAGGGGTTGGAGCAAATGCGGTTGTATCGCAGAGCTTGGCTGTAGACGATGGATCGTGTGGTGTGGTCAGGGTGAAAGCTGGAGGCATGCAGGTAGGAATAGCGGTCAGTAGGTTTCCGGTATAGGGTGGTGTTTATGTGGCCATTGTTTATTAGCACTGTAGTGTCCAGGAAGTGGATCTCTTGTGTGGACTGGACCAGGCTGAGGTTGGTGGTGGGATGGAAATTGTTGAAATCATGGTGGAATTCCTCAAGGGCTTCTTTTCCATGGGTCCAGATGATGAAGATGTCATCAATATAGCGCAAGTAGAGTAGGGGCTTTAGGGGACGAGAGCTGAGGAAGCGTTGTTCTAAATCAGCCATAAAAATGTTGGCATACTGTGGGGCCATGCGGGTACCCATAGCAGTGCCGCTGATCTGAAGGTATACATTGTCCCCAAATGTGAAATAGTTATGGGTAAGGACAAAGTCACAAAGTTCAGCCACCAGGTTAGCCGTGACATTATCGGGGATAGTGTTCTTGACGGCTTGTAGTCCATCTTTGTGTGGAATGTTGGTGTAGAGGGCTTCTACATCCATAGTAGCCAGGATGGTGTTATCAGGAAGATCACCATCCTGGCTACTATGGATGTAGAAGCCCTCTACATCCATAGTAGCCTACAGACAGCCTACAGACAGCCCCGCAACCTGAAGCAAATACTCACCAACAACCACATACCACACAACAGAACCACTAACCCAGGAACTTATCCTTGCAACAAAGCCCGTTGCCAATTGTGCCCACATATCTATTCAGGGGACACCATCACAGGGCCTAATAACATCAGCCACACTATCAGAGGCTCGTTCACCTGCACATCCACCAATGTGATATATGCCATCATGTGCCAGCAATGCCCCTCTGCCATGTACATTGGTCAAACTGGACAGTCTCTACGTAAAAGAATAAATGGACACAAATCAGATGTCAAGAATTATAACATTCATAAACCAGTCGGAGAACACTTCAATCTCTCTGGTCACGCAATCACAGACATGAAGGTCGCTATCTTAAAACAAAAAAACTTCAAATCCAGACTCCAGCGAGAAACTGCTGAATTGGAATTCATTTGCAAATTGGATACTATTAATTTAGGCTTAAATAGAGACTGGGAGTGGCTAAGTCATTATGCAAGGTAGCCTGTTTCCTCTTGTTTTTTCCTACCCCCCCCCCCCAGATGTTCTGGTTTAACTTGGATTTAAACTTGGAGAGTGGTCAGTTTAGATGAGCTATTACCAGCAGGAGAGTGAGTTTGTGTGTGTATGGGGGTGGGGGG